ATACTCATCCCTCTTGACACGCCCTTTCGTCCGCAGCGAACTAGACTATAATCGTGAGCTCCGACTGTGAATCGGCAGCTAAAAATGCCTCAGCATGCCCATTACGAAGGCGCAGTGGCCCAATTACTCCGCCTTTATGACTGGCGTGGAATATGTCTTCAAGAATCGGGTGCTTGTGTCCCATGTTATGAGATCTAGCTAGTCAGCATCCGTGAGCTCCGACTGAGAATGATTTGTGTAAATCTTCGACCGCTCCAGTGGTAATAACTAAATTTAGATCTTAATCAGTCCGATATCACTTATGTACAGTCGAGGATTTGGAGTCAGGTTCATTGCTAAGTCAAATCACTCACAAGCAAGGGAGCGATTCTTACGGTTGGCGATCATCGAATGAGCACTAGTGGTAGCGAAGCTCCTAAGAAATCGTCCAAGGAGGGCACCTCACATCAAGCGTGAGTTTGTAGCTGTTGGATGAAACCTGCTAGCTTTCCGTACTCTAGTCCTTTGTCGTTCAGGCTCCGTTTCAATGCATCTGTTCTGATGTTGAGCTCACTGGGATTCGCTCAAGTCGTAGCGCAGTGGCTTGTCGTAAAAGCTACGATGATCATCGCTCAAGTGCTCATTCTTATCTTGTGTGCTTTTTCACATGAGGTTAGTTTCATATGATCCAGTTGGGAGTTGTGTGACCGTTAGTCCAAGAATTCCAAGAGAAGATTAAGAAATACTGCTATAGCCTAGTTAGTGTGATTGGAAGGGAGACGACATTAGGGAAGAGCCAGCTTCTCCAGGCCTAAGGGTCAGCCCATGGGCAATGTATCTCCCACTCGCACATGTACCAGGACCCAACTGATCCGAAATAGCTATTCTATAGTGTGAAAAGCCGATCAATATATAGTTGATATCGTCACAATCAGTCGGGCGATGTCAGGAGGGGCGGAATGAGCACGCCTCCTTCTGCCTTGCTCTACCAGTGGCGATCGGTTGTTGATCTACTCAAAAAGCAATCCATCCCTCTCTAAGGAGCCCCGACAGCTTGCGACGATATTAATGGCAAGCAAGCAATAGCAATTTTCTGCGAGTTATTGGCGTCGTGACTCGAAGGTCCTAAACCCCATAAGAGTCTTTTTGAAAATTTCTTCAACTCTATTTCTCAATTTATTCTATTACTCAATTTCTTCAATTTTGACTTTACAGTGGAACTTTGTCCACGGTGAAGCACTGACGCGACATCGTCGGGCACATTTTAACATCGCCAACGTCGTTCTCGAAACCTATCAGCCTCGAGCCAGGACAGAAGGTCATCTGTTCGCCAGTGTAAAGTGTCCCCAGCAGACTAGGAAAAAAATTGCATACTTGCTGGCCGGGTAGGTCTAGTGTAATCCAAGTGTTAGACACCTCTGCCTGCGAAGACTTTTGTTTGGCTTCTTCCCAGAGACAATATTATTTTGCATTTTAGCCAGAACCACCGACACCTGGTTTTGTGGCAGTAGTGAGTTCTGAAGAGGACGGCAAAAAGACTGCTTTCACTGACCAACGTGACGCGGTCAGCCAATCGCAACTCCATCCATAGTACTATTTCCAAGAACTTTTCTATTTCAGCACTATGCTGGAATGTACACGCATGCTTTGCAGAGGGCTAAAGAAATGGAAATGATGGATAGGGTAAGGAACTCGAGATGAGTACAGTTGATATCGTTAGGAGGGGCCGTGGCAGGAGGCTGAGCTCACACGCGGTGTCTCCTACCACTGGTTGTTTTCTCCTTGAAAGGATCACTAACCGCTTACTATTGGTAAAAAAGCAGCGGGGGTGAGCTTGTTCCACGCCCCCAACGTGCACATGGCACGACTTGCACCGCCGCGTCGTCACAATGTGGTTCTCCAACACGGCATCACTAATGAAATCAGTTCTTCCAGAGTGTCGGCGCATGTTCATCTCTGGACGCTGCTCAACTTGAAAATGTCCAATTGAAGCCGGCTAATCCGGAACAAGATAAGAAGGAGCATGAGGAGAAAAAGAAGAAGGAAACTGAAGAATATCTCAAACAGTTTGAAAAACCATTTTCGTGTTGAGGCCCTGATGCTTCTTATATATCAAGATTTTCGCATCAAATAAGATACATACCTCTGAATAAAGAATTGTGTGGCAACTAAGTTACCGGGTAAACACTCTGTCTTTCTGAGCTATCATAAGGCCACTGAATGAGAGCAGAGCATCACCGTAGCTGGTACGCGAATACGCCTGGTGTTACTGGTACCCTCTTTTTTTCCGACCC